CTTGTGTGGGAAAGCGCTCTCAATGGTGCTCGATCACGTGCCAATGGCAATTTTTAGGGTCGTGGGAGTTACCACGACCTCGCAAAACTGTTCATCCTTGTCTGTGCACAGACAAGTGGGTTATTCAAGCCGTCTGGGCTCGATGAACAGAGCGGCATTTGCCATTCTCTTAGGTATGGTCATTACTGGGGGTGCCATGGCGGCATGATGCAGCTGCAGGAAAGTGGATGTGGGTGAAAGACTTATTATTGCTTCATGATGATGAAAGTCTGTTTTAGTTTGTAAGACACGGTTGACTCCAGCGAGTTCCACTGTTTGCAAAACTTGCCTTTTACTTTGGGATGATTGTAAAGTTTTCTGAGAGATCGAACACATCATTAATATTTAAGCTCTTAATTTGCAACTCGTATAGGCATCTCTGTTGAGGTCTATACTGAATATATATAAAATAATGAAGCTTGGATTAGTTCACTAAAAGTATTAAGGCAGTCAGGGGGATACGAGATGAAGAATTACTAAATGAGGCAGTAATGATTGGGTGAATGACTTAGAAACAAGCGAATGGTTGGATGATAGAACCTTAGGTGTGTCGACGTGAGACACCTGGTATAGAACAAGTGAATGCCAAAACACTGCTTTACTTAGATTGTGCACATGAGGTTCGTTTGAATTAGATTGACCATTTCACTCCTTAATTAAAAGAGGTGTATTTTAAATTTTGACCAGCATTGATCAGTTTGTTCCAATTGTTTATTCGCACGAGCTACAAACACTTAAATTATCCACAGTTTACTATATGCAATGGTGACTTAATTGCTTTAGAACTCTGAGGCTACTTTGTCCATTTCATCATTCAAATTATCATCACAGAAAAATGAAGAGCAGCCCTTTCCTCCTTTCCTATTAACGAGGCCACTGTACACCAGAGGATACTTTTCCATTAGCTTTAGGCACGTAAGTCGACTGGAGATTCAAACAATGATTTCCGTGTCGAATGGGATCTTCTAAGGAAGAACTTAGGCCTTCCCTTCTTTCAAACCAATCTTTACGTTGTTAGAAAGGTGTCATTCAAATTCAATCTTTTCGACTCAACACCGTGTTCTTCTGCCGGGTTAGGTCCTACCTCCTCAAAGTAGATAGTAAAGATAAATAACCAAGTCGTTTTGGGCAACCGAGGGCCACCGCAAGTCTATCCATTGACTTTAGCACTTTCATCCTGTAATTTGAGGAAAAGCATAACTTTATCCACTTTGGCATGTTCCGAATTTATGTCCTATTTCTCTCAAGGCTGAGTGAGTCTTCTGACTGTGGAGAATGTGAACACAACCAACCTCTTCGTCGTCCCAGGAATTAGCACCGTAAAGGTTTGTAGAACGGAGAACAGCGTCAGCACCAATGATTCATTGGCCTTGTATTTTCAAGGTAATGGCAAATTGTTCCAATTAACCCATAAGTTCGTCTATGGTGCCATAACAAGCAGAGTACATAGTGGTATCAAAGGCTGCCCTTTTTTATTTGTCAAACAGTCGAAACAGTCGGTCGATTGCAACATGAGCAAGAAATGGACCTCAGGTTCCCAAGATTAATAAAATGCGGACCTGTTTCTAGCCACGTGTGAGATGCTGTCTTGTCGGAGTGGGAGGATGGTATACGCAGCCTACGATATGCTGTATTCGGTGATGAAGCATCAGTCGAGGCAATAGATCCAAGATAGTCACAAATAAGTCAGCTTCGAGGAAAATACTCATGATCTGGAGTGTAACAAATGTTGGCTAAATCAGCAGAAAGTGCCGAACAGACTGTGTATTTTAAGAATTTGACACAGTTGTTTGCTAGAAGCCGTACCCCATCCATCACTACCAGCATCTTCACCGTTTGCATTCCATTTATCCTTAATATAAAAAAGTTGATTAAAGGATGATATATGAACAAGTGAACTAAAAAGTCCAAAAATATGGAATGGGTGAACGAAACGCACACACTACACTTTTTAATATTTAGATAGCGCATTATACTGACAGTTTCAACTGGGCCACAGCATAACAATTATTGCCCGTAACAGTATCGCGGTTAAAATGATAACGAAGTGATGGCAGCACACGTCAAATCTCACCCGAGAAAAGTGCTGACTGTGATGTTCACGGCGATCGCCGTTCTATACGGCGCTATCTACTTTCCTTAGTGGAAGCACGCCTTCAACTGCTTCTGTTATGTGACAGATCAGTACTTATTTGCGATGAGATAGATTGCGCTTTGAAAGGGATTGACATAACGAACCACAAAAGTGCATCTATGGACAAGAAAAGGAGCCGTGCCTTGCAGCGAAGAATGGCAATTTAATTTCAGCTGCTCCCAACAGAGCTTGCATTTTGTGCATACTTTGCAGTTGTGTATAGACTCTTTGGCCAATATTGGTATCCAGAGCGCTGTAATCCCGTAAGCTTGCTTTCCGCATACCACTACCCTACTAGGAATCTTCCCCTGTCCAGCCCCTATTCCTACACTGTAGATGAACCAGCTTCAAGTATTATTCCACGTGGTTTGTTGTTTAACATGCATGCGCTCGTACAACACTGCCCTGTTTCGAGATCTAAGAGTGAGTGAGAAACATGCCCAAAGCACGACATCTGCTGGAATTGAATTGTCATTTTTCACTGCAAAGCACGGCTACTTTTCTTGTCCATAGATGCACTTTTAGGGTTTGCTGTGTCAATCCCTTTCGAAACATAATTGCATCACAAATAAATGATTTCCTGTCCTTCAACAGAAGTTATTGGAAAAACGCTCCCACTAAAAAAGGTAGGTGGCACAAGTTTGTGGATTTATATACTCATATTTTTTCTAAATTACCCTATTTTTATGGAAAAGGATTTCACATTTACTGGAACCACAATTATGCACACACACTTTTCAACTGGAAGTTCCAAAGTCCATCTTAATTAGATAAATCAAATTTACTATTAATTGTGAGTGTACGCACGATGTCATATTCACATTGCACTGTAATACGGCCGTGCTTATACGCTCTTTTTGGATGAGAAGTGATCAGCTGGTGTCAACCACGTGACGGAGCGGCCACTTTTAACTCCTGAGGAAGAAAGAAACTCCAACCTTCTTTACGCCTTGACAGTCTGCATTGTCACATATTACTGTCCACAGGCTATGCACTCTTCCAGTTATAGAGACACGAAAGTGTCGAATTTGTTTCTGCACTTCTTCGCTGCAGTTTGGTTGGTATGACACTCGAAGTAACTGATGCCTGAAAAAGAAACTCAGATAAAAGCATCTTCTTACAAATTGCATGTTTAAAATGTGGTTTTACCCCGGATCCACTTTAAGGCGCCATGCTAAGCGATGTAAAAGACGGATTTCGTAATTCCTTCCCTCTAGGACCTCTGAAGATGCATAAAACTGCTGTGCTTTGCGAAGGCATTCTTGTCGACTATCAAAAGTTACAATCGGCAGACAACTTTCTACTTGCTACGTATCCAAACAGCAGAAATGACGAAAAAGGCAAGACCATGAAGTGGCCAACAAGAGCATTCCTCACAAAATACTGTGGACGAAGTTACAGATAGAATTGTAGCTGATTCAACAATCAGTAAGGCATAAATGTGCTTTGAACGAAGGGGACAAGCACTACCAATAATGCACATCATGCAAAAATTCTCAGAAAATAATGGTAGCTACGCCATCCATTTTCACTCCTGATTGGTTAATTTCGTGTGCGAAACGAGGATCCAAAAAGATTATGAGGGTACTTTAGCACAAATCCATTAATCAAAAGATGAGAAAGTGCAATTGATTTATTGCTAATAGTCTTACCTTCCAATTCAAATGTGCTTTTGAACCCAAGGCCGGTACCCATTAGACCTTCTCTACCCTCTGCGATTTCGTCATCGTAAAGGAATTTTGAGGGCTGCAAAACCAAGGTGCGAGTGATGCATTTTTTGTCTCCTTTATTCAAGTGGGATGCTTTATTACCCTAGAAGTGACAGTTATTGCCTGACAAAGTATGTTTTCAGGCATGGTACATAGTTGGTATTGAATCAGGGGTAGCCAAACACGCCCGCTTGGGAAACTATTTTATTATGTTTAAATGTTTGGAACATTGCTATAAGGTAAAGCCACTTTAAAGTGGTTATATAAGACATAGTATCCTCGGGTGCTTTAAGAGCTATTAATAACATTTGGGAGTTGGAATTACTGCACTTTATTTTTGAGATAAATATCCTGGTCTTGGTATGATTTGCTTATCTAAAAATTCTGTTTGCCAAAACAATACCAAAAAATTCATTAGTAGTTTTATTTATGCAATTTACTCAACCATTGGAATAGGCTTTATTTTCAAAAGGAGTAATGGGGGAAGAGATAATGTGAAATTGAAATTGCCTTAGATGCGAATGATTGACAAAGGAGCGACATGGCCTGTGGGCATAGTTGCTACACCTGACCAGGAAGGACGCATCATCAAACCCAGTAATAGCAACAAGATTTCAGACTTTCAATCAAAGTATGCACCTGGTCGCAATGTCCCCAATGATGTAGCAGCTCTTTCAGTCAACCTCATGTTCGTTTGCATAGCCCTTTATGCTGTAGAGATCTCGGCAGGTCAAGAAGGTCTAATACTTACCGGCCTTGGTCTTGAAAGCGCCTAGAGGCGGTAGTTTCAGGAAAGTGAGCAAATTGGCAATATATCTACTGCCTATTCTCATCTTTTGACCAATGAATTTATGCTAAAGTATGTGCGCAGTACTTTCACACCCTCGTTTGGCACACGAAATCAACCAATCAGGCAGTAAAAGTGTTTGGTGCGGCTACCACGAAGAATATGTTACGAGGCTTTTGCGACTTGTGAATTATCAGTAGTGGCTGTCTCACTGCGGTCCATCTATAGATTTGAAAATATTCAACTGAAAGGAACAACGCGTAGAAGCCCGTTCAACAACACAGAGGAAATTTAGTATCACGCAGATATCTGTCTGGATCGTCGGCCTCCCTTTCCACATACCTATATTATATGAGTTCCGTATAACTTGATGGAATAGTGTATATCAATCCCTACCAAGTAAACCCTAAATTGGAACGGCCTCTGTAAGGGTATAAAAGTAGCTAAACATCTATCACAGCATAAACTTTGCAAGAAAATTGAGAGATTTTAGTTTGCTCTGTTTAGTTCTTCCGCCCTTCAGTCCCACAATACGCTTTGCGTTTCAGAACAATATAAAGTGAACAAGAATAGTATGCGTTCTGTGAACACGAAATTTGATGAAGAGTAATGAAAATTTGGCCTAAAAAGCGTGAACTGCTAAAGGTTGCCGTGTGTTAACTCGTCACATCCAATTTCGAAAAATGCAAATCAAACGAAAATTGTAGACAGCAGTTGTAACAATTTAGAATGTGGATGAAAATTCTACTACAATCATCGTAAAACTTGACCGGACTCGATACCGCACAGGTTACTTGATGGTGACATCTTTTGCAAAGAGTTGTTTCTACGAAAAGCAAAGAAAATGCCTTGTGGGTTTGGGAATCCCCGTGTCATTCCAGAAAGTACTCCAGAAATTATGCTGCATATTTAATCGCTTAACAATGATATGCCTGATGCAAAATGTCCCAAGTTGCTTTAGCGTAATGAGGAGCCTCTTGTGAGCTCCACAAATTTCTCATAACCACTCTTCAGATGCGGCTCATTTGTCTAGGCTCATAAACAAGAGTTCCATTTGGGAATCTAAGCTTGCATTTGATCTCGCCTGAAGAAAGTTCATGCCACGCACTCCTTGAGGTGTGATAAGCACTCTGTACAACACTTTTAGATTGTATCATAGATTGTTTTTCTTGCCTGCACAACCTTTAGCTTCTTACGATGCTTTGAGCCTTGCATTTTCGTGTGTAGAGCTGCGGCATTTCCAAAGCTGCTTATTTGATAGATATTTTCAATATGAGTGAATAGGTCTAGGAAAATCTCTCGGAATACGCAGCTACTTTGATACTGGTTTCGATTTTGGAACATAATGATGGCTTTTGATCAAATTCGTCATTTTTAATGTTTTATGCATGTATTTTTGCTAGGATCAAGCATTTCGGACTACATTCACACCACCAACCATATTTGTCTGCTCGATTTTACAAACTTCTCATATTTATATATCTACATTACTATCCATATATTCTTGCTCAATTGTGATAGCTTGAACCACACTTACACGGTCAGATTCACTCATCAGATATGTTCATCCATATATTCTTGCCCAATTTCATTAACTATAATTATGTCTACACGTTTTCCATACACAAATATTGCTGCTAAATTTTAATCTGTTCTGTTGTCCTCACGTTCATCAATTCATTTTGATCAGTTTAACAAATAGGATGGATGTTTGTGCTTCCATGTTTTTTTTCAAGCCTGTAATAATCTGATTAATGCCATGTTAGGTCATATATTTTTTATCAATTTTGTAAAACGCATTTTCACCCATACACATGTCTTGCATTCTTGCCAATTTGTATTAAACCGATTTATGCTTTCTCGTACATCCATGCACATTTTGATTAATATTGTAAATTTACCATACATATATTTTCTTGTCTGCATGTCTTTTCTAAAATTTTTTTATTTGAATAATATCTAAGCGTTTACTTACATATCTCGGCTATATTTTGCCAATTTTGTGCATACTTAAACAATCATTCATCTCTTTTTTAAAAATGTCTGCACACTCAGTAATACTTTTTGGTGAACATTTCTAATTTTATTGCACTGCGATGGTGGTTTATACCTCTGTATTGGTGAGGCGCCATTTTTGGATTTTCAAATTTGCCTTTATGTACCTAGCTGGGTGGGCTGACCCTCGGGCCATGCCAGTAGCCCATACACCTTCTCTGTGCTAAATATAATCTGCCCCAGTATTGTGCCTTCTTTCTTTTTTAAGGAAAGTCTCGGGATGCTACATTGATGACAGTGGAAAGCGAACCTGATTCGGAAGATTACGCATCCTGATTTTCCACTTCTGCGTGATAAGCCTTAGTGATGCATTTAGAGTGCTGAAATGCACATGTGGATATGTTATTTGTATTAGTAAATTGGGTCATATATCGCTTTGGTTTGTGTGAACGTATTTTGCATAGGTGAAATGATGTACGTAACTACGTCGGCAGGTGTGGAGGGTACACATTTGTTGCCGTTTGTGGGTGTATTTTCGCGTTAATAAAAATGGGCATCTGCCTATGATGGTTAGTGTGGCCGGGATTTTGTAAATACCATGAGTTTTCAGTGCGTGGCGTTTGCTCACTTTTTACCTCTGCAATGTTTGGTGTATATTAACATGGAACGGTTTTGAAGTGGACAATTTGGAAAGGCATTTAGAAATTTAATTTTTATTTATTTGCTGTTTCTGCCAAATTATTATACTTTGTGAGGCTACGAGGTGTCTTATCACAAAATCTCTTCTTCGATATTTACTACCCTCATTATACCATTGTCACCATTACCAATAGTATTGGTTTTTTATTCACGTTTTTATTCTTTTTCTTCTTCAGGATTAGAGAAATTAATGTCAGATTTGGTGAACTTGTTGCCACCAACGTTGATGTTAAAATACGACTTTTGGGTAAGGCTTCAACTGGTCCGCAACTCAGGGTTTTCACTACAGTTTCGAGTTTTATGCAGGGTCTGCCAAATTGTCATTTAGTCACTCAAGCCAGGTGTCCCCAAAGTTTATTGATAGGTGGTTTTTCTGGAGACACAGTAGTGGGGAAAATCCTATTTTTTCCACTTAATTAGTCTCATCTGCTTTACTTACTCAACTGGGCTTCTTTCGACTTTTTAGAATCAGGAACTGCTCAGTGTATGGACTTCCATTTTTATTTTTTGCATCTCCGTCAGTTCATCTTAATGATAAGAGCCAATCGCCTTCCTCCTCATACTCCTTTTTCCGACTCCATTATAAGAATCGGCTTTGTGTCATAAAATAAACTTTGCTCTGCTTTCAGCGATGCCAAAAAGTAGACTTTATACCTCAAAAATTGAAAATAGACGTATTTGAATTTAAAGCAAATCCGTCTTCATGACCTCGTCACCAATCGAAATACCATTAGATATCAGATTCTGACTTCATGCCCTGGGAGTGGAGCTCACAATTAGCTCGTTTTTTCCCACGTTCGCGGAATAATTGTAGATCAAGCATATAAGAGGATTTAATTAGTGTTCTTATTTAGTAACAAAAATTGCTTCTACTTTTATACTTTTCTAGTTTAGCATTTATTTGCCTAGTTTATTGTCATTATCTATTCACATAACTAACCAAATTCTAAATGCTTGAATTGCGTTTGTATTTCCGCATATCCCCTTTAAAACCGTTCCCGTTTCGCAACACAGATATGCTTCACTTCACTAAGTTGTATGCTTTTTCCTAATCATAAAAAGCCAGTTACTGCATTTTGAATAGCTGAATGTCGTTTAATATTTCCTTTACATTAGAAATTTACTCCGTCCAAAGGAATAGGGGTCGAGTAACAAAATAATTTCCAATGGTAGTATTTTCCTTAGTAAAAAAATGTACTTAAAATTGTTTTGTCTGTTTAACTTACCACCTTATATAGAGATATGATCCTTCGAGGTGGTATTATTTTGTATTTTCTTTTCAGTAGTAAGTTCTTACAGAATTTTTATAGATAACAAAACCCTGGACAGCCAAATCCGTATCTCCATAGGCTGACACATTAGGAATTTTCAATCACGTTTGTTGTCATCTCATTGCATTCCATTGAGCTATGCCTCTCTCATTCGTTGGAATTGATAACTAACACAAACCGTCTCACACGATGGTGTAGAATGGTTGATGCTTTGACGCGCTTAAGTCGGGTGAGCCTAATGTGTGCCTTTTAAGATGAAACCTGCGAATATCAAATTGAATGTGACAGTCCTTAGTTTGCCAAACTTCTTTTCAATTAGCAGATCGAATGCTTGGTTTAGACTTATTAAAACATAAGTAGAGTTTCGAATTTATAGGAAATAGCATTTGTATTAATCTACCAGCATGTAATTTTAAACAGGATACTATCTGGCTGGTTTTATTACAGGAAGTATTGGGATTAACGAGGAACATACAAGTGTGTATTAAATGGGTTTTGAAATTGACAAAGTCTGGACATTAATATATAAATTGCCTATCATCATACGAAACTCCAGATTAAGTGGAAATTTTTGTCTACATCACCTCAACTTTGCGCTAAGAGATGCACTCAAAATTTACCATGTGGCAGTCATGGAGTGCATGCTTTAAGTGGTGGACTCTTATCAAATATGCTAACTTCCTTTTTAGTGTACGCATTAATTTCATACATTTTGTCAATTTCTTAGCCAATAGACTGATTAGAGTTGCTCTATTGCGTTTTGCTGCCATTTGATTTCATAATGAGAGGCAAGAGTAATGTTAAAGTGCAAAAGAAGTTGTAAATTTCTTTTATTCTGAAATATTTGATAATGGGCTGCGAGGATCTAAATAACACTATTATGAAAATTAAGGTCTGAAAACCATAATCCTTTGATGATTGGGCAAGGCTAAGTCATGAAATCCAGTTATGCAAACCACAAAGTGAGCGATAAACAAGTGCTGTTAACTTGGCAATTTAGACGGTGGATAGATCTTACAAGATG